CTGCGCTCCCTTCCCTCTTCAGCAGCAGTGCAGCACAGTGGACAGCTACTACTTGGGAAGCTGTCCGTACTTTCAGGACCATGGACAGCGCCAGAGCAGCAGTCACGCCAGCTGGGACATTGCACCTCATCAGCTGGCTCTTCAAAAGCGGCCAGCTGGAGCTCATCAGGGGAGAGAAATGTTTGTGGGTTGCAGTAGCAACGTGTGTTCTCTCCCTTGGTGGTTACCTTATGGTTTTGTGGTTTTCAACCAGCTTGTTGTTTGCTTCTTGTGAAGAAGTAACTTTAGAACTTTGTGTGTTTTAGGGATAATTTTGAGTTAACCGGTAATGTTTGGTTTGGTGAGTCCTCTGGACCATCTTTGATAATTTACCGGGTGGGGTTTTCCCCTTTTGAAGTCTCTGTTTCCTGAGCCAATTTTGGTATTTCGGTCAACTTTAGTTAGGTTAGTACTTTTGTTTGGTTTGTCTTTGAGACAAACCTTCTGTTTAACTACTTGGTTGGATTTTTGCCACTTCTTGAGGTCAAAGCATTTAAAATAAAGGAGTCTTCTTTTAGGATTTATAGAGTGGTTGGTCCTCTGGACATTTCAGTTAATTTAATTAGTTTTAACTTGGGTAATTTCTAGGTAAGGATTTATTGGCCCTTCTTTTGGTTCTTTTTCTTATTTTTAATAAAACCTTTGAAAATACAAGGACACTTCGAGTTTGGTTTTGCTTGGTCAAGCCTTTTCCTCCCCAATAAGGGTCACTTTTTGTTATACTGGTCCATCTTATGTTTATTCCCCTCTCCTTCCTAGCTGAGCCCACAGAGGGGTGTAACACCAGGTGTTCAGTGAGTGGCTCCAGCGTAGGGCTGCTCAATTAATCGAATTTTAATCACGATTACGATTTGAGTTTTGAACGATCATAAAAAACAAAACAAGCCGATTATTTGCTCCTCCCACTTGCGCTGCTCTGATTTGCAAATGAAACGCTTCTCCTTGGGTGTTGCCAACTTGGCGACTTTGACGCTATTTCTAACAGCTTTTCAGACCCCCTTCTTGACTTTTTAACTTAAAAGTACCTGGCGAACACCTCAGAAACATCTCTGGTAACCCTTAGCTACTTTCTGGATAACTGTCATCGACATTTCCTGCAGGTTAGCTAAACTCTCCGCCTGCGCTCCGGACCGTTCTTCAGGACATTAGGAAAGGGAATGATGTAGTGATGTGTCGGCCGCTAAAGAAACTGCTCTCGGAGAAGGCTTCTTGTTGGATTAACCAGAGTGAGTGACACACACACCGCACCTGCGGACTCCTGAGCCACTAAAAACAACTAAATGTGTGTGTGCGGCGTGCTAAACACACGTGCAGCTTGCCACTGATTGCTGTGAGACCGGGGTGGGGGGTGGGGGGTGCAGCTGTGGTTGGGACATTTATTACATTAACTGATGGACTTGTACATACATAGTTTATAAATAAGGTAGAAATAGATAGAAATAAGTTACTCATGCTGATAAATAATAACTAATCTCTCTGAGGACATGGTGCTAGTGTATTCTCCTACAGCACCTTGACACAACTTCAAGAAATGTTATGCAACATTTTGTGAACATCAATTTATTTGCATTTATTTGTTATAAATGCCACTGTATAATTCTTGCTGTCAGTATTTGCAAGATATTGGTATTTGGGTCTGTACTGGTTAGACTTAAATGAGTTAAACCAAGGTCTATAGCCCTTGGGTCATAGACTATGAGCTATAAGTATATTGGTCTTTTTATACTGGGAATCAGGAGTTATTTTATTGATCATCTTGTTTCTTATTTATTTTTGTCCTGATTGTGCCCTGAGCAATTTTTTGACTGAATAAAAACAAATAAAATCAACAAATAGAAAAATCGTCCTAAATAATCGTGATCTCAATTTCAGTCACCATAATCATGATTATTATTTTTGCCATAATCGAGCAGCCCTACTCCAGCGTCACAGCTCTTTTTGTTCTGACAGTTCCTACTCTGTGTGATGGTTTCTCTGCACATTTCTCCACACCAGCCAACAGACAGAAAAGCTTTTCCTCTCGGCTGCATTTGTCCGCTTGGTTAGAGAGACACTCAGTCCATCCACTCCCCTTTGCTTTCAACTGGTGAACTAAATGGCAGAGCATGTTACTCCCCAGGATGATGTCATCGTTCTGGTTGTCAACCACTAGAGTCAGGACAATCATCCTGCACCCATAGAGTTCCACTTCCAACTCACACACGCCAGCTGGAACTGTCTTGGTGTATGGTGTCAGGTTTCCGCCAAAACCCGTGCAAGCGTAGCCAAAACCCGTGCACGCGTATTGTCCACATCGCGCGTGCAAACGGGACTCGCGCGTGGAGGTTAGAACCTCATGAGTGAAAATATACATGGCGAGGAGGTCATTTGTACACTGAGAGGGAGCAAACTGTGTCTGTGAGCGCACAAGGATGTGCGCAAGTGACAAACCTGCGTGCGCGCATTGGCCAACGAGCACACGACAGAGGAAAACATGCGCACGGCAGCCTTACTGCGCGTGTGGCAGCCTTTCTGCGCGCTCGGTGCGGCAGCCTCACTGCGCGTGTGGCAGCCTTTCTGCACACTCGGTTTCTGATTCTGCTCACTCGGCTGTTGGGAGTTTTGGCACTCTGGAGGCGTGGAAGAATTAAAGTGCCAGAAATTGAGCACTTGAACTTTCAATTTGAGAGCAGAATTTCATATCAAGAGACCAACTTTTTAATTTCAGAATAAGATTTTATATTATTGCTCTCAAACCTTGTAATGCTTGCGCTCAAAATGTCTGCTCTCTTTCAAATTCACTCTGTTCTCCTTCAAATCTTTGTTTCTGTGCTCAGATTTAACCTTCTTACACTGGTATTGTCTACTCACGTGACAGCTTTTTCTCTGCAAGGATCAAAACTCCTCCCATAAGTCTGTCCCCTGCTCTCACGGATCTTGTCTGCTCTCGCTCAAAACTTAGAAGTACAATCTCCTAGCAACCGCTCAGCCAATAGAAAGACTTGTGGGACTGGGCGGGAACAAACTTCTTTGGGGTGCGCTCGTTTTGACGCTCTGTGGATTTTCCTGTGTGGCTGCCGCATCTGCGCACTAACAGCCTGGCTAATACCCGCCCTGATCTGGAGCGGGAGTTTCACTTGCACCAGCAAAATGGACCAGAACCAACAAAGCGCTCAAGTAAGTTATTTTTCAAGGCTACTAGCTGCAGTTTATTCCATAAAATTGTTTTGTTATGCTACTTTTTACGACTCCTCGCATTTTATATTACAGCAGGGGCACAGCTAGGTGGATTAGGGTCCTACATGGAATAAAATGTCCGGTGATTCATCCAGGAGCTGGGATCGAGTTATGAGGGGCTAAATATCTGTCAGGGAAAGATCCAGAAATTTTTTCTAGTGCCGTGTTCCCCAGAGTTGGATAAGTGAATGAAAAAGCATTGTTTTAACCAGCGCAGTAATTCTTATCTGCCAGCAGTCTGTCTGCTTTAGATTAGAATAAGCCATGTAAATTAATGGGAGGTAGTAGCATTTTGTGTGCCAAACTGTAAAATTACTAAATTATGATACAAATTATTCCTGTTGAGCTCAATAATCATGTTGACTGCAAATGAAAAGTAAGAAGTAACACATTTGCAGGAGCCAATTTAGACAGTAGACACATTTTCACTTAGGGTGGAATATCCCTTTAAATCAAACTTAAAACATGCACGTAAGCAATATACAGAATATTTTAATTACATTTCATGTTAATCATTATTGTTTACTGAACACTGATTGTTGGTCACTGATTTAAAAAAAATGTCTTTAATGGGTTTCCTGTCCATTGTGTGATAAAGAATTTACTCAGGAGTCTATACAATTGCATGCCAGCTTTTGTGGTGAAGAGGAAGAGGACAGGTGCATGTTTTTACCCATGCACGTTGTACACAATATGTTATGAGAATTTAATCTTTTTTTTCTTCCCCCACATCCGAACAGCATCATACTGGATGACTCTTCCAAGCACTTAAGCTGGTTTGAATTTTTACAAACATTTGTGTTAATGTGTAGGTTTTAAAATAAAAAATAATAAACACAATGTTGTTGTCAATAGCTTATCAGACATCCTGAAGTTCCTACAAGAAAGAGTTGACAACACTAATACCTTTAACATTAATGTGACAAGGGACGACCTTTACCAGAGAGGTCTGAAACAGTGGGCCAGACAGAAGCAGGCTTCCCCCAAAAACCAGCTAAGTGTTTCCTTTATTGGAGAACACGGCATTGATGAAGGAGCACTACGCCGAGAGTTCCTAACTGGTATGTTCCTTGCTAATGTCAACATACCAACTTTGAATATAGTTGAAAATGGCAAACTGTAATTTCTTTTTTCCCAATAGAAATGATGCGAGGCCTTGAGTTGAATTTATTTGAAGGAGTTTCATGCAAAGGCAAAAACCCCAAATATAGTATCTCTTACTACCAGGAAAACAACTACAGGTATGTACAGTATGATGCTGCTCTGCAGTGTAACTTGGCTTGTTTTGTGTTCAGGATCTGTGGGGAGATCATTGCCACCAGCTTGGTTCAAGGAGGACCAGCACCGAATTTCTTTTCTACTTGGTCCTACCATTTCTTGCGTCCTGGACAAATGAGGTGCCAGAGGTGACTGATACGGAAATCCAGAACCTGATTCAGGAGGTAAATTAAACAGAATAATTTATTTTCTGTAAATTGTACTAACAAGTGTTTCTGTTTGAAGGTGGAACGTGCCGAAGAAGACGCACTGACAGACCTTTCTGATGCCATTGTAGCATGTGGCTACACCGGTCCAATTAACAGCGATCGCAAAAAGGCCATCATTGAGTAGGCTATGGTAATGTAGCATTAAACAAGTCATGCAATTTTTAAAAATGAGTTATTACAAGTTCATTATTCTTTTTACTAGGGCCATCAGTTTGCATTCAGTGATGAGACTCATACCGACGCTAAGTCAGCTTAGAGAAGGACTGGCCATCTAGGGTTTGGATGAGCTGTTGCCACAACACCACCAGGCACTTCAGCCCCTCTTTCTTCCTGGGAACCTTAAACAGGTAAGTACAAATTCTTTAGGCCTCTGCAAAAAAATATGTCCATTACAAAAACGTATAGGAAATGCAGAGAAGCTGAAGCTTTTTTTGTTCCATCAACAGTTCTAATCGATTCTTATAAAAATACTAAGAATCAAATCGATTCACAAGTACAAGAATCTGTTTGTTTAACATTGTTTGCCCCAATTTATTTTTTACAGCTATCATTTTTTTACAGACAGCAATTTTAAGTTTTCTTTAAGGAAGCTATCAGATGTATTTTTATTCTAATATCATGACAATGAAGTTTTACATATTTTTTAGTGGTATACATCTTCATTTTCTTATATTAATTTAGCTCTGCAGGATAAGCAGAAGTAAAATTTGTATAACTGAAAAATGTCCTGTATTTATTTGAGTTCTTAAGTAATCATAAGAATAGTCCATTACCTATTTGATAGCTGCAGCCCTAACAGTTTTATCTTTTTAATTCACAGTATTTTTAAAAACGTCTTTTGTAGGTGGATGCAGACTTCGTGGTGGAGGCACTGGCTCCTCAGTACAGTGACAATGGATCAGTAAGACACAGAGGAAGTGGACATGATCAACTTTTTGCAGGACCTCTTGCAAAACCTGGAAGAAGGAGGTAGCCACAGAACCATGCAGGATTATTCCACTTTTACTGCTCATAATGCTTAGCTCTTTTTAAAATTGTTATGTTCAGCACCTTGGGCTCCTGTAAAGGCAGTGGAAGGTGTTACATAAATAAAAATTGATTGATTGAGAAAATTTTGAAGTGTCAGAGAGACCATTGTGTTTCACCCAATCCCCCATCAAAGAAAAAAAAAAGTTAAAAAATAAATTATAAATATATTTGTTTTGAAACTGATTTAGCCATTACACCTTAATTAGACAATAAAGTAACTGGCTAATTACAGAGAGGTAATCAGTACCTCAATTATGTTAGTGACACACTGATTTTTTTTTTCACCCTTCAGGAACAGATGACCAAGATGGGAGCCCATCAGATGGCTGTGGAGCAAAGCAGTTGTCAGTGCAAGGATTTTTTCAGTGGGTTTCAGGCCAGGCACATGCGCCACTAACAGACACAGAAAGATAATTTTACAAGATAACTGTAAATTTTGATCACAACGGTACCACCCGGTATGGACCACACACTGTGCTTTCCTACTGTTAATGCATGTGCTGTTGCTATCACCTTACCTACACGGCACGTTACTACATACACTGACTTTGAAAGTCAGCTTACTCAGGCAGTCTGTGATGGATTTGATTTTAGCAGACATTAAGTGAAAGAAAGATGGCCACTGTTCTGGGTTCAGGTTACTGTATAATGGTTCAAATTTAACTTTGAATCCAAAAAGACAAATTGTTTTGTTTAATAATGTAATGTTTTGGGGCTAGAAAGCGACATTGTTACATGAATCAATAAAGTTAGGCCTATTGCCATTTCAAATACATGTTATGTATTTCTTTTGTAACATTAAAAAAAGCACTGGAACTGATCTCTTGATTTTTTATTTCAAGTACACATTAATCTGACAAAGCAGCATTAACATATTCTCTGCACAATAGATAAAGTTCCTTAGTGTTTGAACGCTCCCAATTTTGTGCCAGTAGCAACTGCAGTTCAGCATGCTGCTCTTCAGTGAGGGGACTGTCGAACTCCAGGACCACAACAGCACCGTCCACATCTGGGCTGTACTCTGCTGCAACATCCCAGTCGATGTCTGGCTCTTGGAAATCCTGGCATTACAACAAGAGAACAATGATGTTTCTATATTGAGCTGCAATTTGTCAACAAATAAGCAAAATTTCCTAAATTTTAATAGAAACCAAATTATCACATTGTGTATACAGGGTTGTGCAGGATTACTATATGTCAAAATTAGATTAAAAAACTTACAAATAGCAGGGGCAAGAATAACAAAAATTCAAAATGGTTTTGATTTAGAGCTTTTACTATTTTGCAGGGGTGTAATTGTCATTTACTTGCATCACCGTAATTAAGTACAGTTTGCAATTTAAAATTTTTAACCTTTAGTAGGTTTTAGGGCTGGTTGATGAATAAAAGCATATTAATTTAAAAAAATCTAATCGATCGATAGATAATTATTTCAAAATTTTAAAACCGTAGAAGACAATATATATTGAAGTGCATCCCTGGCCATTTTATGCTATTTCTTTAAGTGACAGTCTGTAGTTTTCTGCCACTAGGGGGCAGTACGTACCTAAATCATAACAAACAAGCTACATTTTTGTGTTCTGTGAGGAGCCTACCAATGAATAGCCGTAAAGGCCACAAAAAAAAAAGCCCTGGGAGTGTTGCAGCACAATTTTTTAACGGGCTAACTACCTTGTCAGATCTTTCAACCTCCAGCAAAATGACAACAAGCACATCGGACTCCCTTTCATCAGTCAGCAGTAGAGAAATGCCATATTTCACATTCAGTATCTTTTAAAGCGGCGTTCAGTATGTTCATAGAGCTCCTCATTTAGCTTCATGTTTGTGTTTCAATCTTTATTGAACAAATTTTTTAAAACTTCCTGTAGAAAGCGATGAGATCATGACGTAACGGTTTTTTATTTTTATATAACTTTATTAACAAACAAAGCTTACAGGCAGATGCAACTGCTGGTTGTTGGAACTGTGAGCTGCACAAAAACAGGCATCCAATGACTGGATTCAAATTGGGTTTTGGAGTTAGAAACCTACTCAATATGGCGGTGAAGCAGTTACTCTCCAGCAGCCAATGATGTCTATGGTACGGCTTATGTAGAAAGAAACATGCTGTCTAAAGCCTGGTTTATGCTTCTCCGTCAGCTCCGCAAGGGACAGACGCGCACGGATTGACGGAAGTGTTTTGCTCTCATACTTCTCCGTCTCCTGGAGAGTGTTGCAAAGCAATTCCTTGGCAGGACAACAGAGGGCGTAGTGCTGTTCTGTGGTATCCTGTCATGTATCGGTCCATGATAGTGTGTTTATATTGTGTTTTTTGTGTATATAAGAGACTTTTTAACACGGACATATTTGTCTCTCATTCTCCTCCACCTCTTCATGCGCTCGCCACCTCTAAACCCACGTTTCCTGTCATTTCCGTCCACAAATAAAACGCTTGCTGCACATCTTTTCACTCCTCCAGTCACGGGGAACTAAACGTTCATGTTTTTAGAGTTTTTTCGCGAGGTGTTCTTCAAGCTTCTCCGTGTCTGCCGCTTGTTATCCTCGGCTCTCTATGTTTTTGAGGGCGCAATGCCGGCGGTGTAGAAGACAGCCGTGTCCTGACCAATCACAAGCTTGCGTTGTCCGTCTCGACTGACGGATGTTTAGAAAAGAGAGCCCGACTCCGTCCGTCCTTGCGGAGCTCTCCGGCAGGCACGCAAGGACGTTGCGTGTCTCCGCACTGACGCAGACGGAGAAGCATGAATCAGGCTTTAGGCTACGTTCACACTGCAGGTCTTAAAAATCCATTCAGATTTTTTGAGTAAATTTAATTGTTTTGTGTGGTTGTTCACATTATAACTGAAATACAACAGCAAACACACTCCTGCGTTAATGTTAAAAGTGATCCTCATGTACAGAAGAGAACAAGAACTCACACACTAGGAGCTCTGTGGAGTCTGAACTGAGAGGTGGAGCTGTGATCCCAAGAGCTTCACTGACAGACTTCATCCACAATTCCAGGATCACACCTGTCAAGTCTCCTGTTTTGAGCTGGAAACTATTTTCAAAACTTAACTATTTTACGCCTTATTCCCACAGTCATCACATATTAGTATTTTCCCTCACTTAAGCCGCTTTCACATCTGGGTCGGCATGGACGCGTTCAGAACAAAATGTTTTGTTCACATATGGTGTGTACTTCGTTCTGAGGAGACTTCTTTTTTCGGACTACTTCCCTCAGAGGTCCGGCTGGTGCCGAGCAGACACTATGGACTAATTGGCAGCTGAAACTCACACCTACCGCCTCCGATTGGGGAGTTGGATCAAACACCGGGGGGTTTCCGCATGTGTGATTACTTTTCATCCTGGTTGCTGTTTGGCCCACATGAAGCACTGAGCTGCGGGTCTCCCTCTCCGCAGCAGAGGAGGACAGCAGTGTGTGTGTGTAGCAGTGGTTATAAGGACACGTCTGCAGCGGAGGACACTACAGCGCTGAAGCAGGAAGGATTAGAGGAGAGCAGATTATTAGAGAAGTGCAGTGTGTGTTGGTGCAGCGGTTTGATGAGGAATTATTGTTTAGCATAAGCGGACACCGCAGACTTCTTCCACGCGTCTTTACCGCCGCCCACATGCTCGGGGATTTCCGCATTCCTGAGAAGTCCTGGGAATCACATGTGAACAAGAAACCACCCATTCTATTCCAAACTCACACGGCTGAGCCCCGACCGTAGCAAAACATCAAAAACCGGAACCAGAAATACTTTTAGCGCTGAACTCACCTTCAAAATTAAATGTTAACCCTAACGTTTACTGTTGAAACCATTACATGTTTGAGGTAATTTGGCCACTCCGGCTCTCTGTAGTGGTTTCCCAATTACACGAGGGAGGGGTAAACAGAACTCCAGTAGCGGTTTTAGGCTCGGGCAGACAGGGCAGTTGCCCGGGGCGGCATTTTTTCATGACACAAAAGGGGCGCACAGGCACTGAGTAAAAAAAAAAGAAACCTGCGCCGCACCGAGGTTTTCTATTATCTGTCATATGACAGTGTCTGGATTGGAAACAGCAAGTTGGCGCCCCCTGCACCGTGTGTGTATGAAGAAGAGGAAGGGGAGGGGTGCGGTGGGGGAATTCATCTCTGGGTGGGTCCAAATGAAATGAGCGGGTAGGGGCTGAATCAGCTGTATCAACATGGCTAAAGTCAATCACATCTTGATGTTCTTCCATATTTCATTCATAATATCATAAACACAGACCAATCATTCTTTCAGGTGTTTCTGAATTGTGTGAAATGACCGAATAAAAAAAGGAAAAACAAAACGATTTTGTGGTCACCCCCCCCCCCATCAGGGTCACATTGTTTAGTCCTGACTAAAGGAAACTTACTGAGTCAAGAGCCAAACAGAAGAGATGAACATAAAAAGGCTAAAACCACCAGGTTCCTGATTCAGGAAAAAAAAAGAGGAGAAAGATAAAGGTATGTTCACTCTCATGATGCATGTTTTCAGTTTTTTGAACCAGTTAACTGGGATTTTAACGGTTAAATTCGGTCAACTAATTGCTGACAGAGCTAATAGGGCTGAAATATTGAAACAAATATTCAAATGGTTCGAATAAATTCCTTGAATCGTTTTTTACTGATTCAAACTAGGATTTGTTAAATGCTCGCTGCAGCCTGTGGCCTGCTTGAACAACAACAAACACATGTTGATCATGTTCACATAATAATAAATAAAACAACTCTACAAGCAGAAGAAAACTCCCCAGTCACCACTAACTATCCTGTTTATTTATTGCAGATGGCTGCACTGATTATTTTTTACATGATTTGTTCTGTAAAAATTGGCATTTCTGGTAGTCTACAGTTTTTATGACAGTTTAAATTACAATTTCTGAGGCAATTCTAAAATATTATGGATCATGATAAAGATCTATTGGAGATCTACCCCAACTTTTGGACTGCTCTGCCAGTCACTGTGGCTCAAGCTGAGGAGCTTTTCAAAACTTGATCAAGTCATACCTGAGGTCACCTATGTTTCAGGGGCGGCTCACTAACCTGGCTCTGATTAGTATCAATCACTCAGTAGGGGAGCAGATTTCATATGATAACATTATTGATGACTTTGCATCAAGGTTAGGTTTTAATTTTAGTTTGTGTTTTCTGTTCTAAGTGCAGTGCTGTAGTGATTATCTTTAGTGTGTTATGTATGAAATATTTTTGCTATTTAGAATATTTATTATATATTATGTGCATATATTCTTAATATTTAGTTAGTTTGGTTGTTTTTGTATATTTGATTCTATATATTTTGATACAGTGTATAATGTATAGTGCTTTACATTCTGAAAACTTCATAGTGATTAATGTAAATATGTACAACTTAGAAAAATGAATGTTCAATAGT